CCGATTTAACTTTGACCTTGATTTATGACCTTGTCCTTAGGTGATGATGCATGTGTATCAAGCTTCATTAAATAATATTAAGCAGATTAGCAGTTACGGGCAGGACAAGAAGATCCTTGTTTTAACTTTGACCTTGATTTATAAAAGTTGAATGAATTTATGAACTTATTTGCCTAGTGATAATACATATGTTTTGCACCGTTGTTTTAATGTTGACCTTGATTTATGACCTTGACCACCTAGTGATGATGCATATGTGTTTCGCGCTTCATCAAATCATATTAAGCAGATCAGAAGTTGTGGCTTGGACAGGAGAAAGTTTTCAGACCTCGGTATGGACGGAGGCTACACCATACACACTTCCTGCGCCCACCCCCCGGGGGGGGGGGGGGGGGGGCGCCTTGACCTCATCGAGACAGAATTAATTTCAAACTCAAAACAGAAGAGTAATAATGGTGCTTTTGTGATTGTGGGAAGAAGGGTTCAAATAATTTTAAGTAGTGACTTTCAGGGACTAGATGAGTGATAGCGGGAAAGAAAAGGTAATTAGCATTCTTCTGAATTCTGTATCGTCTTTGGAAAAACGTGACTTCCTGCCCGATTCGTGTTGTTTTTCAACCTCTGCTGCGCCACGCCTCCCTGAAAGTATCAAGGCGTCACAACAAACTCACAGCGGCGTGCTGCACCTCATTACAGAGACGAGTCTACGCTGCGCTCTTATTGATTCAAATCAGGGCCCGAGTCTGAACCTTTTCAAGTCTAATTACTGAGCGCCGAACAAATGCCGAAACATCAATGTGGCTCAATTAGACAAAGGGAATTAGCTCCTGCTGCCGCGGCTGTGCTGCTCCGTTACGGCCCCCGTGAGCCGGGCTTTATTTCAGGGCTGGGAAATGCCCAATTATAATGCTAGACTGCTGCTAGCTTGGAGCGATGCCTGGAAGTCGGAGCGAGTAAAGCGAGCAATAACAGAGGCCCTTATTCCCTCCCTGCAGGAGGGGGCATCCACAACAAGAAGCTTTGGCAGAGTTCAAGAGGCTCAGAGGGAGGAGGAGGAAACAAAGCGATGAGAGGGGGAAGGCAGAAGAGAGATCGAACTGTTGAATGGTCTTTAACGTGCCCGGCTACCTGTCTGTGCTCTGCAGGCGACCGGATGGTGATCAACAGTGTCTGCTGTCGCCTCCTGGTGGCATCCTCGAGTTTTACCACAACGTGGCACAAACTCAAAGACCTCGGGAGGGACTCCCTGCCCACGTGAGACACTTGTTGATTGTTCTCCTGTTTACAGAGCTGTCACCTCCCCCATCTCCCGGCTCCAACCCTACTGTTCTCTCCGAGTCAAAGCTGCCACCGTGGAGCGGTGTCAGAGCTGAGGTTTTATCAAAGGAAACTGCCGCAGGGTGGAGATTGTTACTGAGGCATGATGGGAGCTGAGGGACAGGGAGGAAACTGAAAACTGTTGGCAGCTTGACCGCTGTTCATTGGCGATTCGGCCCGTTGCGCCGGCCGCTTGTTGCTGATGCCGGCTCTGAATCACCACACAGTGACGTCATGAATGAAAAGATGAATGCAAAACTCTCAAGTTGGGAGGAATCATGAGGTCATTTAGACGTTGTCTAGGTTCAGGGGGATGCTCTTCATGAGCTGGAACACATCGTGGGCTTAAAACAGACAATGGAAGAGAGTCAACACCACATGGTATTCTTCATCCTCCACACAAAAATCAGCCCCTATAATGACCTTGATCTAGGCCTGTCACGATAACAATCAGCCCCTATAATGACCTTGATCTAGGCCTGTCACGATAACAAGACAACAAGAAGAATTAGCCTGACCAACAGCTCTCCTTGTGTGGATAGTGCATGCTCCGTTTCTCTCATGCATCCGTAGCACTAAGCTAGCGGCGTGCAATACAGATGCACTAGCTAAGATGCTACAGATGTAGCACTCCGCTTCTCTCACGAATCCTAATCCGACCCGGGTCAACAACTGCCGGCACTAATGTAGCTCTAAGCTAGCGTGCAACACAGAGGTGTCTAGACTTCCTCCTCCAGCCCCGTCCACAAAAAAACACTCAGAGATGAGCGTCCTGCCAAACCAAGTGACCTGGGGGAAACACTGCATGCGGTGTGGTGAGTTGTTGTAAGTAACCCAGAAAACCCGGAGTGGACTTTTAGTGGTTTGAGTATTCTCCTAGTGGAATGGATTTGTTCACGAAGAAATAGAAACGGCGCTGGGGGTTCAAATTAGTATTTTTTAAATGTGAGGGGGACATGTCCCCTTCACATATAATAGTTGCGACACCTACAGCATGATCCCTGATGTGTGTGACCTCCAATCTTTGCTGAAACCAGTCTGTCGTCACTCAAACCGTAAAGAGTGAAAGACGTGCAGCTTGTTCCCAGCTTTAGAGGACGACCCGACGGGTCTCAGGTTTAACTCACAAACACGTGTCCGGCTCCAACGAGTTCATCTTCGGGTACCAGCAGTAGTCGTAGATGGTGTCGCCTTCAGCCATCCTCAGAACTGGACTCTAGAACAGGAAGGTTTATAAACGTCAAATAAAAGACCACGGATACAGTCCGAGAACAACTAGACTGTAAAAAAAATAAAAAAAGATTTTTGTTTATTGTAAGGAGGAGAATAACCCGGTGATCACTACAGTTGGTTAACCTGAAGGTGGAATTAGGAGACAGGACGACCAAGGGGACGGCGATCGTTTCTGATGGGGTGCTGGATTTTATTTAAAAACCAACAGGGATCTTCACTGTAAAGTGTATCAAGGCATGAAATGAGATTTCCACGGACATCAGAAAAAGAATCGCAATAAATTTCTTTCAGAGCCGTTTAAGACCCTAAAAGGTAATGAAGAGGAGACCGTCTGTAATCTGGTGCTTTGAAGCTCATGGTTACCAAAAAGACAAAGATCCTTCATCCAAACATGGAAACCCTTTAATCTATACACTCCAGTGATTTACTTTAAACTATGCGATAAACGTCTGCTCGTATCGGACTTTCTTTAGAAACTGCCGTCTTAAAGAGCTATAAAATGAAAAATTAAGACTGTGAGGTTATTTTTCTGACAAATATTGATGGAACATAAAATCCAGAATTCAAACTAATTGACGAGGATGAAGATTTAACCTCATTACACTAATGCAGAAAAACGAGGTTCATTTTATTTCTGAATATTAAGCATTAGCACTAAAAGCTTACATTTTAAAACAAGGACAAGACTTTTGCAGGATTCTAGATGGTTATCATCTTACAAGCAGCAACATACTCCAGAAAGAATAATACATTTGCCTTAAACCTACTTACATTTAAGCAATAGCTTTTATTGAAGAGTTTTCACCAGGCAGTAAATAAACACAAAATTGGTGCAATTATTACCCAAAACTAAACTTTGATTTAATTTTAAGAGGGGAAAAATAAAACTTGTAAAAGTTGTGATACATGCTGTGAGCTGACAAAAATTCTTGAACCGTAATTTCCGGTGTATAAGCCGCTATTTTTTTTCACACGCTTTGAACCCCGCGGCTTAAACAACGCTGCGGTTAATTTGTGGATTTTTGTTTAATGAGCTTCATGCCGCCAAAACATTTAGCCTCGTCACAGCCGGGCGCTCACATAGCTGCCCAATACACGTCTCTCTTGAGGGGTGTGTCCTCGTGGCTCGATGAGACTATGAGAGTATAAATAAGGGTTAAAAGAAATCTGAATGAAAATACCAAACAGTTTACAGGGAGGGGAGGAGAGAAAGAGGGGGGATTAGCCTGCATGTGCACAACGTGATTTGTATCTTCTGTTACAACGTGGACACCCGTGGCTTATAGACAAGTGCAGCCTATTTATGTACAAAATCTTTTTTTATTTAGCGTGTGCGAATTATATTCAGGTGCGCTCAATAGTCCGTAAATTACGGTATATGAAATATAGCAAAGGGCCATAAATCAGGTATGGCTGCCACACAAAATGCAGACAACACCCCTCTCATTATGCTAATATGTCCCACAAACGTTCATCAAATTCCTTGAAAAAGGTGCAGGAGTTCATGGTTTCTAGCATTTCACGAAAAGAAAACTTCCTGATTTTTCATTTATACTGTATTTTAGGCACATGAAAGAGTCACATTCAGAGACGACAGTAATTAAACTGTAGCCTACAGTACGTGCATACATTCCTAATACTTAAGAATGTATAACGTCAGAAACTAAACCGCCAATCAGTAAGGATACGTGTTCTGCGTAGGAGCAGAACATGGACTCAGCGATACCAAAATACAAGCATTAATACTAGGCCTGTCATGATATCAAATGTCGCTGGGCGATTAATTGTCTCAGAAATTATTGCGATAAACGATAATATTGTTTGAAATTTGACAATAATTAGTAATTATTGTCAAATTTAATTAGAAATGGCAGGGACCAATGCAGACTGTTTTTAGTTTTCTACATTCGCCTTAGAATCTTCTGTTACTTTTCTTTTTGTAGTCATCCTATTTGTTAAAAAATAAATAAATAAAATTGTATGACTTTTTATAACTGTTAATTGTTGTCACTGTTGTCATCGTTCTTTGTTGAAATCAGGTCTCTCTTGTAAAGGAGTCCTCGAGGCTCAATGGGATTTACCTGTCTAAAAAAAGGTTGAATGAATGAAAAAGAAATGTTTGTTAATTTGTTTTGAGTGTAGTACCTTTTTTCGACCACTGGATGGCAGTATAAGACTGTTTGAACCGAAGGATGGATAGTGAGAGCGAGCAGCGTGTCTCTTTAAGAAAAGGGAGGGAGGCTCCTTGACGTGACATCTCTTTTCCGTTCTCAAAATGGCGGACGCTTGGTGTGGTTTGCGTTCTTTAGCATAGCATTTTTAACACAAAGCTTTTAATTTAAAAAAATCAGTAAACAAGTTCTCAGCTTCTTTTTGCAGAGAAAAACAACTTTTTACACGAAGGCACGGGTTTCAACCGTGAATTTTGGAGCTTCAACAAGACGGAGGACCGAGACAAACGTTTTCAGACTAATGAAAATGTTGTTGTTTTTTAAACTATAGACACTATGTCCTCCAAACTAAAGAGGAGAGGGGTCAATCAGCCTGTTAACAGCAAAAAGATTAAAAGCATGCCTCTCTGATGGTATAGGGGTGCATTAGTGCCTCTGAAATGAGCAGCTTACACAACTGGAACAGCTTCATCGGTGCATTAAAAACAATATCTCCTCATATCCAGATGTCTTGAAGACATTGCAAAAACCACACACTGCATCCATGACAACAGCATGGCCTGGTAAAAGAGTCCGGGGGCTGAAGTGGTCTGCTTGCAGCACAGACCTTTCACTATTTGAAAACATTTGATGCATCGTTAAATAAAACAATCCAGCAAAGACGACCCAGGACTATTGAAAAGCAAGAATCTTACCTCATAAGAACGAGACAGTTTCCCTTAAGTTACTTATCTTGGCAGGGCGCTCGTCTCTTCTGTGATACTTGTTGACGGACGGAGAAACCTCTGTGAGGTGCGGCGTGTGTGCCAATGGTCGTCAACATGGAGGGGTGAAGGAAACGGCTCTATTGCATTATAGCTAGCGCGTCTGTATTG